TGTTTTTGATGGGTAAAGTAAAGATGAGATCAATGAATATTTGGGTGGCACCAGAGAGTGGGAGATTTAAGTTAAATTTTGATGGGAGCTCTCTGGGCAATCTAGCTTTGGTAGACATTGAAAGTGTGATGCGAGATTGTTTTGGAGAGGTCATCTTTTCATATGTTGGTCCTATTGATATAACCACAGCTAACCAATCGGAGTTATTGGCTCTGTTGCAAGGGTTAAAAATTTTTATCCCTTGAAACATCGGGAGTAGCTGCATTATTGAAGGAGATTCTATGGGCACAATTAATTGGTGTAAGAAGGAGCAGCGTATTCCATGCGAACTAAGGTCTAGCTGACTGCATATTATGGATTTGGTGGCTCTACTTTCAGTTTCTTTTTGTCATGTCTTTTGCGAGGCAAATTCCTTGGCTGGCTTCCTAGCTAAAGGAGGGGCCTCTTTGTCTGCTCTAGCTATTTCCTCTGATGTAATTTCTTTTGTAGATTTTATAAATAAAGTAATGAATATTTGTCCAAAAAAAAAAAATGGTGAGAAACAAAAAGGAATTAATATTGATTCAATTTTAGTACATTGAGAAAATGCTTCATAAGTTTGAACATATTGATAGTAAGCCAATCTCTAGATAGATCCTCATAATAAGTTAAAAAAGAGAGGAGATGTATAACTTAATTGAATGTGCTAGAGTAATTGGTAGTTTAATGTATGCAATGAGCAACACAAGGCTTGACATTGCATATACCACGGAAAAATTTAGTAGATCTATAAGTTTCGTGGTAGAAAGCATTGTGATGCTATATCTCGAGTATTAAGATACTTGAAAGGAATTTGGAGTGTTGGAAAGAGATAATGATGCTAATCCGAACAAAGAAATCCAAAATTCAATATCAACATTTGGATTAACTTTTACACTAGTAGGTGGTGCGATATTATGAGGGTCAAATAAACATACACATATTTCATGCTTTACTATGGAGTATGAAATTATTTCTTTAAACTGTACTATGAAATTATTTCTTTAAACTGTACTAGTAAGGAGGTAGAATGCCTAAAGAACTAGTTATGTGACATATCTATATTGCCAAAACCAATATCTATGATTACAGAATATTGCAATAATCAAGCTACTTTTGCAAGAACTTGTAATGATGTATATAATGAAAAATTTGTACATATTGTGAAAAGGCATAATTCCATTAAAATGTTAGCTGGAGATAGAGTGATTACTATTGAATATGTAAAGATCAAAGGAAATTTTGATCAATCATTTAACAAAAGGCCTTATGAATAATATAAAAAAGAATTGGGCTAGAATATGTATCTATAGTGGGAACCCAACCTAGTCTTTTGTAACCTCAAAATTCTAGGTTCAATTTGGTAATAACAAGTTGTACATATGACCGAATTGGTCACTAGACGTCAAAATATTGTGAGTATCTAATCTAGGAAAATCCATATGGTGGATAAGTCTAATGATGATATGTATATTAGTAAGTTGAGTTATACTCTTAATATTGTTTATGGATTGTTTATAAGTCAAAGTGTTTGATATTCGGCGGCACTCTTGATAGACACAACTATATAAGTGTAAAAGTGAGGTCACTTCCTATGTGATGAGACTCATCTCAAGAGCACCAATCAAATTGGGATACAAGCACAAGGCTAAAAATATTTTGGCTGCAAAAAGGTACTAGAGTTGGATATTATTTGTGCATTATACTACTTAAATGAGCAACCTAGTTCAAAGTTATAGGCTGTCATGGTACTTGATGGACTTTGTAGTTTATATTCTAAGTGAAGATTCAAATCAAAAGATACCTTCATAGTATCAAAATAATATGTTTTTTTTAATTTTTCAATGTTATTTTGAAATAGTTGAGGAAATGTTAGTATTTTGGTTTTGTAAAATACTTTTGTTTATTTCAAAATAATATAATATTTTGTGTGTTTTTAATAGCTTTTATTTTGTAGAGAGAGAAATGTGGAAGTTTTAAGTCCCATGTTGAAGAGAATAGTGCGGATTGAGTGGTATTAGGGCATTTCTCATACTTTATACTCTTAAAACAAATGTGAGAATGATGGTGCATGTGCAGAGCACACAAAGCGTGTGGCACGATGCATAAGTGTCCACACGCGTGTAAGGGCGTTTGGTGGAAAACTATGCACTTCGCATCGGCACATGAGGCGCCCCTCGCCTGAGCACGTGTTCGGGTGGGGCTCAATGCTCTGTATTGTTTTACGAGCACAGTACGTGTGAGACATCTAACTGCCACTAGCTGTTGATCACAACAGTCGAGATTAAGGATGGCGCATGTAACTACTTAAGCAGTAAATACATTGCATCTTAAAACTCTATATAATGGGTCCTTTTTCCCATTTGTGACATACATTATACATTATTCTTATTACGAATATGCAGAACAAATCACTCATCCCTCTCTCTCTCTTTACTTGTTTTCACTCTCTGACTCTCTAAAACCATAAGCCTCTGGTGCTCTACATAAGGCTTTTGGTTCAGGTGCATAGAACCTCAAAGTGCAACAAGAGACATTCTGTTTTGTTGTATCTCGAGGAAGAATGACCTTTTCTTATACATACATTTTATAATAGGATGTGGTTTTGTATAAAGTTGCAATATTAAACAATCAAATTAAGACGCACTTCTGAATTTTATCTTTAATATAGTTTTGGTGTAAAAAAAAATCTTATGATGGCTTGAGAATCTATTTTCATCTCTAATTATAAAATCTTAAACTCCAAAACTGGTTCAAATCAAGTAGATATATAAACACTTGAAAATCTTGAAAATAGACGGTCCAAATAATGTGTTTCATGATACGCTATTTTTAGGTTTCGAAATCTTGTTTTGTAAACATATTCATAAATCTTGATGTCAAGATGATCGGTTTGAGGGTTTTCCAATATCAAACCAACATTTTATGATGGATTTTTGATGTGCACTTCAATTCTACATTTTAAAGTTACAATCTTATATAAACTTTTTCCTTTATTTTGAGAAAACACTTCTGGGTGCTAAAAAATGGGAAGGAAATTCGCTTATTTTTATATAAATTGTTCTTTTTTATGTAAAACTAAGGAAAAATTATATCAAAAGGCTTATCCACCCCTTATACATGATGAAGGATGTTGGAGACGTTCACTCTTTGAAATAGGAGGTCGCTTTTTGTCGCCAGCAAACAACACTGTTCATAAGCAATTACGGACGTTCGATAGCCCTTTGTGTGAGAATGGTGCCGGGGTCATGATGGTAGTACCACTTGAGATTAGTGGTGGCACAAGTCAGGTACGGCTGGACCTGAACCCAAACCTGAATAGTATTCGAGTCCAGGTTTTGAACCCAGACTCGACCCATCATGTCCAAATGTTGGACCCATACATGTACTCATCGGGTCTCGAGTCTATCCCATCGGGTTCTGGGTTGGGTCGGGTCCATTGCCACCCCTCACTACGAGCTTTTTTTTTTTTGCTATTTTTCACCATCATATGTTTATATTATTGGCAACAAGTTCACAATCACTCGCCATTAGATTTCAAGCCGTTTAATAGCTAAAGATGACTACGAATTCTTATTATATATGATCCTTAATACACCTAATAAATAGGGCTTGTAGTATTTTATCTCCAACAATTTACGAGTATGGGTTGGGTCCAACCGGACCCGGACCCGAATAGTGTTTAGGTCCAGGTTTTGGACCTGGGCTCGTCCCGTGGGGTCAAAATGTTGGACCTATACTCAGACCTGTGTTGGCTAGACCTGGCAGGTCCCGGGTCAGGTTTGGGTCCATTGCCACCCTTACCTGAGCATCAGTTAAAGGTCATAGCCTCCATTCTCACGTACACTTTCAAAAAAATAGTCGTTTTGTGTATCATGTATAATTCACAGTATATCGAAACTCTAATGACCCTCCAAAACAAAAGAAAGTGATGTTGTCAGATTCGCTTTGGACTGCTCATCGGTTTGGTGAGAAAATTGAAGCAATTCGATGCTTTAGCGAATTTGGGGGAAGACTGCAGACTTTTTTTTTTTTAATATTATGGAAATAAAAAAATTTAAAAAGAAATACATACTTTTATATAGATATTTCTTTGTTTTAGCTGAAGAAGCCAAAGCTTCGACGTGCTTCTCGGAGTCTTCATCGGTTTGGTGAGAAAACCTAAGCAATTCAATGCTTCCATCAATTTGGGGGATGACTTCAGACTATTTTTTTAATGTTCTAGAAATAATAAAACAATTAAAAGTAAAAATTTCAAAATAAAAAATAATGAAAAAAATACTTTTATATAGATATCTCTTTGCTTCACCTGAAGAGGCCGACGCTTCGGTCCGAAGCTCGCCGAAGCTGACTAAAGTGGCAGCACCAAGTTGTGCTTCACTTTTGTCTAGGCTTAAAATCCGAAGGTTTTGGGACGAAGCAAAGTGAATTTGACAACAATGG